AGTACCATTTTTATTATAGCTTTGCTCGTTGCTAAATAATTCATTTTCTGATTTGCATTTTGGCATCCATGCCAGACTAGGGTTGGTCTTGTTGCCGTAAAGTTAGTTTTTTCTGTTCTGTTAATATTTCTTCTTATATATATATTCTTCTTGTATATACTTTCTTTAATTTAAATTTGCTGAAGAACAGAAGAAAACTAACTTTCTCCTTAATTAGGCGTTGACATGAATGTCTTGCAACAAGATTTTGAGCCCATCGCGGCTAACCCTGATCATGAATTAAACTATAATCACGATCGTATCGAACCGACTCCAGTTCGCTTTTATAGTTGACGTAAAAGTCAATGGAGTATCCCCAGTAACTCCAAACATTCATGTGTCGCTTCACTGGGCATGAAAGGTTTACTTGTTTACTTAGATTGCTGTTTGGAACCTTTTGGATACACACGTTTACTGATCTTATTCCAAAGTCTGAAAAGCTCTGTTTGTATATGCTGCTCAGACAAAGATATGTCTTTGAAAAAACTTCAGCAATCGAAAATGGTGACATCTGTTTATGTTTGTAGCACGCATCATCTTAATGCAAACGGGGGAAAGTACATGACAACTCATTCAAAAGTGAGTGAGAGCTCTTTTAATGATGTTCTTATCTGCCAACTTGAAGCGCATGTCGACGTTTTCCTTGCCAACTGTGACAACAAGCAAGGCCTAGTGGCGAATCATATCGCTAATGTTGTCCAAAAACTCATTGAAAACTAAATGCAAAACTTATGTCTCGGAGGGCCCAAATTTCTTCTGAATCATTCCGAAGCATAGTCCCCGGATAGAGCTTGGCGAGTTGCATCTGGAAAAGTGTGTTTTAGAAATGGCAAACATTTTCAGGGCGAATATTTGAGAGAAATACCGACTTTCCTTGTCCTTGTCTATGACAAAAATGAAATGTTTGGGATTTAAACTTTAAGATAATGGTTATAAACCTAGTTATTAATGTTTCCAGTGTAGTTTTTTATGCTCTATCGGGCAAGACTATATTGAAGATTGACAAATACCAATGAGTGAATGTTTGAGGAAAATACTCGAGTCGACTTTTAACTTTCCTTGCATAGCCATGATTGATTCCTTTACTCTGTTATGTGGTGCACGTGATGACGAACACACTTTGATCCACATAAGGATGAGGCATCTGTCGACAATCAAATGGAAACATTCGAGAAAATAGAAGAGCAGAGAATTGCGATAGAGGAATCATTAACATCCATCGCATGAGTAGTCGAACTGGTAGGCTGAAGAACAAACAAATGCCTTCTTCGACTGTTTTCAAGGGTATCAATAAGGGCAATTTGACATGACGATTTATCACGAGAAACCTTTGTACTTGTACGCATTTCATGTCAACGTTCGTTCAAGAGCTGACAAAGCAATTTGTTGGCAAATGTCGATTCAAATTTATTTGAACAGAAAAACAAATCTTGTTTTGGGAAACTGTTCTCAACTACACTGCAGCATCTATTTTGAGGAAACAAATCTCGATTTGAACAGTAGCGGATGAAAATCGTCATATCTCTGCATTGCGTTGTTCATCAATTCTGCAAGCTGGCTATCAAAAGAAACGAGTCGATTAGATCGAATATGTTATCATCTTTATTTCAAAGGTGAAAAAGGGTAAATTCAATAGCAACTGGATTGATACATGTTCGAGAAAAGAACTTGAATAATCAATGCAAAATATCCAAAACAAAGAAGAAAACTCACTAATCGAAAGTAATCAAGAATGTGGGATAAGCTACACGATTTTCATATACAATGTAAACTTGACTGTTTCCTGTTTTACCTGATACACTATTGTAACGTGCACCTGATATGCTTTCGTTTTTCTTAGGAGGTCGACGCAATGTCTGATCGCTTTTGTCCTTGTAATCATGAACTTCTCCTGTTAATACTTGAGCTAAAAATACTTGGCGTTTACCATTAGGCAGTTGATGAGAATAGCCTTGACAAGAATACGAGGCATTTCTAGCAAAATATGTGCCGATACCCCACATACCCTTTGTACTAAATGTCATATCAAAACCATATTCACCATTATAAATTTCACTAGGTAATGTGCTTTTAGTTCCATGAAATAACTCCATCTCAATGTGCAAATTAGGCTGATTATTTAATTCTTGTTGAAGAGTACGACGGCGAAATGCATAATGATTCCACAACCTTAAATTTTGTACTCTTTCAATCTTATCGATTTTTATATTGCTTATAGTTTCTTTCATACGATTTGTAATACGAACAAAGTCAGGATGATTTGGGGATAATCTGACTAATTTACATTGTTCTTCCTGTTCACCCCATTCTTTAGGTATACTCAATTCATCATCTTTGTCTGCTTCCATTTTTAAAATATCTTGAGCATATAGAGCAATTTTTAACTTTGCTTGTAATACATTTTGATGTAAACCTTTTAATATCAATGATAATTTTCCTCCACGATATTCTAGAAAATCGACTTGAATCAGTTGTTGAATTACAATATTAGTAATTGCTTTTTTATGAGCATCAATGTCTTCGTTTAGGTTTACGGAGAAAGGTTCTGAAATAGTGGCAGATGCAATGATTTTCCTAATTTCTGTCTCTGCTTGGTTTACTGCTGTACTGGTGATACTAATAATATCCCAATCGTCTGATTTAGTCTCTATTTGCAAATGATATATATCCAATGGCTTGGGACGATACGTAATATATTTAGTATGTACTTGTTGCGTCAGCGGGTAGCGTGTAATATATCGTTTAAAACCAGTATTTTCTCTCATTTGAAATCCACATACGATACGTTTATTAAGCGCATTTGACTCAGCTGTCAATATTTCTTTCAAATTAGAAAAAAAATGAATACTGTAACGGACAATAGTAGCACTTTTTAAATTATCAGCAGTAATATTCAATGTCGACGGAATGAAAGTTTGCAAATATTGTTGAAATGCAGTTTCAATTTGACGTGTATGATTGTCATCATAGATTTTCTCGCCATTATTGTCTTCCCAACTCCATTTAGCTGCTAACGGAGGAGGTAATTCATAGTTAATAATATCATCATCGACTGCATTTGTATGATCATTGACTAATTCACGTGCAAATGAATTACAAGCTGAATCATCAATATCTAATAAAATTACTTTGCTTAGATCTGATTTTGGAGCATCGGCAAAGAATTGTTTTACTCCACGAATAACGATATTTGTACAGTCTTGCAACGGAAAACCATAGGTCGCAGAACTAATGGCTGGTAAAGCTACACTTCTATAGCCTTCTTCTTCAGCGAGTCGTAAACTAGATAAAATACTTGAGAATAATAATGAACGCTCTTGTTGATTACCATTAGCATATTGAGGACCAATTGCATGAATAACACCTTTGAAAGGGAGACGGCCAGCTGTTGTCTTAACTGCTTTACCAGTAGAAATTGCTACACCTCCATTCTTAGCAATTAATTCTTTACATTCTTGATCTAGTGCAGGACCAGCAGCAACAGCAATCGCTTTATCTACACCTCCTGCATGATACAATGGTCCATTTGCAGCATTTATAATAGCGTCAACATCTTTTATCTTTGTAATATCACCTTTCTTTATAAGAATTGTTTGACCACGATCATTCACAACACACGTTATAGTCGATGTAATATTATCATCATTTACAGATGATGTTGAACTGTTTGCACTTATTTTAACATCTCGAATGATAGTATTCGTCTCACGTTCGATACGTTTTACGATTTCATACGAATTAATTCGAATCAATTCTGATTCGACGAATGGTAATCTTAAACGGCTGACAATGATCCGTTGTTTGATATCTTTAATAATAACATTGATCTTTTCTTGGATCGAAGTTACAACATCAGAACAACCACGAATGGTCAATTCATTCCGATTTTTAGAATCAACGAAAACTCTTTGAATTTTTGCTTCTTCTAGTAAAGAATGAATAGCCTGATTAACAAAACGACGAATATTCTGTTGAATCGGAATGGTTATAGAAATACGATTCATTCGAGTTGCTTTTCCTAAAGCTAAATTCTGCAAAGTTTCTTTTATTTCATCTGAAATCATTTTTGATCGTGCAGGAATGATAACAGTACTGGTTTCTTTTTCGAGCTGTACGTTAGTGTCCCATTCTTGTCGAAATTGATCAATATGTGGTCGTTTTTGTACTAACAATATGCTAACTAGGGCGCGATAATCATCCGAAGATGGTTTCCACACAACATATCCTTCTATGATATCTTTACATTGTTGAATCACATCATTTGCCGTTTCTTCATTGAGACTAACCACTGTAAAAGTAACTTTTGGTGTTGTTTCTCTTCTTTCAGTTGCTGAATTATAAAAGTTTATCAATCCTATTGCTTCATAGTCATTTGAATCTTGTATTTTTCTCAGACGTGTTAAAATATTTTTGGAAATATTCTTTGAAAGATCCCAAGTATCACATGGAAAATGTTGTTCTTGCTCTGATAAACTTTCAAGAAAATTTTGAACTTCTACTTGTGCTAAATTAATTCGTGAAATGGAACCAACGAGTTTTAAACAATGATTATCATTATCCTGTTCATCATTATCGCCATTCAAGTGTTTGCGACGAGGTGGAGAAAAGATCGTAATTTTAATGTTATGCTTTTTTTCTAGTTTGCTGATGTCAGACGAAGCTTTTGTTCTAAGAAAGAATGCCATAGCATTTGAAATAGGAATTTGTACTTCAGTTTCAACTACATCATTCAAATAACTTTTGATTTTAGATACTGCAGAATATACGTGTTGTTTTAGTCCTCTCACTTTCACATGCCACATGCCTCTGCTATAAGACACAAAGATATGTATGAAATGATTGTGTACAGATTGTCCAAGATAAGATTTAATTCGCAAACATTGGTCAAGGATTGAATTATTGTTTTGCTGGGGTTTACCTCGCTGCTGTTGTTTTGAAATGAATGTAAACTCGTCCACTGTTAACGCCCATGATTCGGTGTACAAACGATAACTTTGTAGTTCTGTTGACGCTTTAGATAAGGAATCGGCAGAGTCACTACACAATGTTATGTCAAAAAATTGTTGAGCAGGATCATGAGAATCTTTGACCCTGTCAGTATTGATTGTGAGATTTGATGCTAACGATGTATCAGAGTCCGAAGTTTCACTTTTGTCATCATCATCTTCTTCTTTTGCTTCGTCATCACATTCATTCGCATCATATTGCTTTTGGCTTTCAACCACCTTGTGATCATCAATATTCTTTTCACTTGTATTTGTATCGTTGGGATTTAAGTGCAATTTTTCCAAGTGTTCAACGCTGTGTAAAGAAGACTGTTGCCCAGAAAAGCTTCTTCTTCCACGTTGACCACGGCTACGGTTACCTCTCCCATAACCACCACGTTGTTGGTCATAGTCAAGGTTTCGGTCACGATCAACACTATTTTGTCTAGAGCCATGTTGACCACGATCGACGTTATGACCACATCTTACATAACTGGAATCTGTGGTATTAACATGAATCGGATGATTCTGAATTCTACTACGCTTATTTTTGTCATGACGACGTAATCCTTGTAAAGAAGTTCCTACATGATATTGTTTCGAAAATTCTTTCAGCATACGTCCGCTACGTAATAATTCTAGATGATTTTTTATGCTGTAAGTAACCGGCACATTTTTTTCATGAAGTGTTTGTTCGAGGTAAGATTTTACCTTTGTTACTGCAGAACAGTTTCCTGATAGTTGTAATTTACCATTTATAAAATTTGCAGAATTAATACCAGGTTCTTTACGAATTTTATTTAGGATTTTTTGGCCAAAAAATTCAAGAAAATTATTTTTGGCAGTACTTAGTTCAATCGTATTCGATGATATTTGATCAATACGATTGTTACTTGAATTTGGTCGATGATATTTAGGAGGTTTTCTGCTTTCCTTTGTTGAATGAGAAGATATTTTACTAATTTGAATATTAATTTGTGATACCGAATGGTTGATCGCTGTTTTCTTACCACTGATGGACAGTAATTCATGAATTCCATCCAAACTAATGGTGACATGTTGAGATTGTTCTAATTTTTTGACGAATTCTTGAAACTTTAAGTTTTGAATTATGTCTACATTTATGGCAAAGCTTACTGTTTCCCTCAACTCCGACATTGATAAACTTGAATGACATTCATTACTGGTTGCCATTGAGTTTGCTATAAGAGAGAAACAATCGTTGAGAATCTTGAGACCATCAAATGTGTTACAAAAGCTGTTCGTATTATTCATCTCATTAGCAGTGCACTTATGCATTTCCTTGCTATGCTTGTATTGGCAGTGACGTAGCCAACACTGGGCCATGGCCCACACCTTAGAAGATACAATTTCTCAATTAACGCTGAAAAATTATTTTGCTTGAAGATAGAAATAAGGATGCGCAGAGCTGACGGGCAATGATTTTCATATAAACTTAATAGCTAATCCCGTGGATTTTATGAACCGCATGAAAATAAGAAATAAAGTATGCTTGATAAATGGTTTAAAAACAAAAACTTGACGATGATGAAGAAGATAAAAGTTTAAACATATATTGTGAAATTATTGGAAAGGAATCAACATACATATCACTAGCCGAAAGACCACAGACTAGACATTATCATTAAAAAGACATTGTTCTATGAATTATGAATCGTCACCATTAAGACCATCGTTTAGTCAAGCTACATAAGGCACGCCAATAATAATACCAGCTAGACAAACAATTATAAAACAAACAGGGGCCCACGAACTTAAGAACACCTTCTATTTCAATAATTTAACAAGATGTACCACAAATGGATTCAGTGATCCGGTTTGATTATGGTAATGGTGGCATGTTAACATCTTCTCTTAATAATAATGAATTGATAACAAACTCAGTCAGCAATATAGAAGAACATTATAAAAGTGAAAAGAATATTGATGATCACAAGGTGGTTGAAAGCCAAAAGCAATATGATGCGAATGAATGTGATGACGAAGCAAAAGAAGAAGATGATGATGACAAAAGTGAAACTTCGGACTCTGATACATCGTTAGCATCAAATCTCACAATCAATACTAACAATATGCTAACTAGGGCGCGATAATCATCCGAAGATGGTTTCCACACAACATATCCTTCT